TTCTGATTGCTATTAATATAGCTGCTGAAAAAAAAAACTTGTTAGAAGTCAACGAATCGGGCTAGCCTGGCAGCCCCGTTTGGTTGTCTCGCATGTCCGCGTTCACGAGATCGACAACCTCGGTCGGCTCCACGGTAGTTGTCTCGTTGAAAGCTCAAGCTAGAATGGTTCAATTACACACTAATTCATGCCACGCCCTGGTCTCCGTGGCAGAATTAGCTCGCACACCTGTACGAGCTGCCTATGCAAATTACATTCCATCGGGGCACAGCCCCGGACCCAACATAAGTATGCATTCATTAACGATACAAACAACATTTGTCTGCTATACAATCGTACCGCAGACAAATAATATTCACCGAAGATGAAGAAGAGTGCCGATAAATGAAATTAATTGCTCGGATTTTTAAATTATTTGAAGGCCCGAATTCACCTGCGAGCGACCTCTATGTGAATTTGAAAGCAGGTTCATGAATTTGAATGAAGAAAGTGTGAAATTGGCGGCAATGATTATCCTGCAAAATAGTAACCTATCTCTAAATTTAGGCAAAAAAAATACATTGATTGAAAAAATTGGTTAGGCTCGTCACGCACACTAGTTTTACACAAAATAAATCTGAAGGGCGTGGGTGAAAGGCGCTCAATAGCAAGTTAGCGGAACAGATTTTAAAGAGCAAATTTACAATGGTCCGTAAGGTTCAGAAAATTTTTATTTTATGATACCAAAAATGGCCATAAATCACTTATTATCAATCATGGAGACATAATTTTGGTTTCCATCCCATGTTGTAGTTGTTGGTTGTTTATTTTTTTTAATTTTTTTTTTTTTTGGGGGGGGGGGGGGTGGGGGGGGGAATAAGATAATCCATTTAGACAAGTTAAAATGTTTTTTTAGATGCTCTAGGAAACCCCAAATTCCAAGATGGCGTCCAGGATGGTCGCCGTTACCTAAAAAAATAGCCGTAAGTCATTTATAATGTATCCTAGAGACATTATTTTCATATCTATTCCATGGTTTTCGGGTTTTTTCATAGTGGTGAAGAATAATGAGCAAGTAAACTAAATCAGCTGTCACACGTAAAACAAGCGCTGCGCATGCCTGTTATAGCGCGGTCCACAGCTGCCCCCGGACGTGTCCTATGATTGGTCAATGCGCCCGGAAGTGCCCCGTGATTGGTGGCACCCATTTACCAATCATGGGACACGTTCGGGGACAGCTAATCCTCGCGACCGCGATATAAGACGCATGCGCGGCGCTTGTTCTACATTGTCTGATGAAGGCTAGCAGTTGCAGCAGAAACATCACAGTACTCTTTCGTTTGCTCTTCGTGCGACAGCTGATCTAGTTTACTTACTCATTACCTATACTTTTTTGGGGTACGAAATCTCGAAACGCCGCGGCATTCCAATGGCTTCAGGACCAGTAAAAGAAGAAAAGTATTCACATAGGCTTGTGTGCCAACTCTGCGACATAATTTTTGAAGAGGACATACTTATTGCATGTGTACACCTCACATTCTGTAGGAGCTGTCTCGAGAAAAATGGTTTGCATGATGATCTCAGCCATGCCATGGTCTGCACTCAGTGCTCGAAGATTCCTGTTCGCAGTGTAAGTGCCCACATTGATCATTCTTTTGAGCATGTAGACAGAAATAACCGTCTGGTATGGGGAGTTCTTTAATACAACTGATATTTGTCAACCTTCCCCATACACAGCCGGCCAAACGTGTGATTCCGAATTTATTTAATAAGTCGGTACTGTTAGAGAATGGCTCAATACCTCTTATAAAAAGTAGAGTAAATAAATGTTCCCATTTAAATATACATACCTTACATCAAAAATTGATAAACTAAAAATAATACTGAAGAATTCACCTTTTGATCTAATAACGCTCAATGAGACTCTGTGCTACAGTACCGTAGAGGACTCCGAAGTATGTATGGATGATTTCATATTACTTCGAAAAGATAGAGATAGAAATGGTGGAGGAGTTGCAATTTCTGTCTCCAAACAATTTGACCATAACAGGAAAGATTAATCTAATCATGACGATTTGGAATGTCTGTGGGTTGAACTCTACTATCCACAAGTCCAGTAGACGGTACCATATACCATGTACATGACCTGGAAAAGTTGTTAAGTACAAGGTTTTTTTGTTGATTCGTATTCTAGATGGGTTAAGATGTACATTCAGCTTGGTTGCCATCATGGCAACCTTGGGCAACTTTTTTTAGAAGCCTAATGAGCTTAATTATCAAAAAAGCATATGTGCAATATGTAATATGTTGCTTATCTTAATCCGGGAAGCCTAAACACAGGATAGCAACCAAACTGAATTTAACTCTTAACCCATCTAGAATACGAATCAACAAAAAATCAACAAAAAAGGTTGTACTATATAATGAACTTTTACGGATCATAAAAAACTTCTACCGGACTATACTGCGACAATTAAATTATTTGAAAAGCTGCATCTTTCTAGGTGACTTTAACTGCACTTATATGCCAAATCAAGCTTGCTCTCATGCTATTGTTAATAAACTAAAATACTGCACAAAGTTGTATGGTTTTAGTCAACTAATAAATAGTCCAACACGAGTTACTAACAACGAGTTCTATAATTGATGTCAGATTTGTTTCCGATCCTGAACTATACTGTTAAGCAGGGGTTTCTCAAACAAGTATTAGCTATCATTTGTTCGTGAATGCAGTAAAATCCTTCAATTTCAGTAAAAGAAACAATCCCACCTCCATTGAATTTCGTTCATTGAAGAATTTTGATCAAGTGAGTTTTTCTTAATGATTTAAAAAATATGCCAAAGCATCTTATCAAAGATATTAGAAATATTGATCTTGCCTAGGAAACCTGGGAACACCTATTCTTCACAGTCGTAAACAAGCATATTCCGTTATGCATAAACCAATTCGTAAAAATGCTTGTCCATGGATAACGGACGGTAAGATCCAATAAGATCACTCTGCTTAGTTTGAAAATTGATGGTGTTCGTATCAGATCCACCTACCACAGCTAATGCATTCATTAACTGTTTTACTACCTGTGCTTTAAATATAACAAAAGAACTGAACGGTACTAGAACTGAATCTCTGATTGATAATGATATTCCGGTTAATCCAGTCACACAATTTGATTTGGACGATGTGTCTGAGGACTTTGTCATTAAGGAAATTAATCGCATGTGCAAAGATAAGGCCACTGGCGATGACCAAATTTCTGGTCGTCTTCTAAAATGACAAAATATGTTATAGCAGAATCGTTAACCAATATCATAAAATGTTATGTCTGATCGAAGCAATTACCACCCAATTTCTATTTTGTCTGTTGTTAGCAAAATCATAGAGAGGGCTGTTCAGTACCAACTTTCTTAGATTATTGACGATACTAATATCCTGAACTCCAATCAGTCTGGGTTTCGAGCAGAGCATTCTACAACAACAGCACTCATGACATTTGTTAATAATATATCATGGAACATTGAAAACAAAAAAGATCGGTGGTGTCGCTTTTAACGACTATCGTAAGGCATTTCACACCGTTGATCACAATCTTTTATTAACGAAATTAACGGGTATTGAATGTTCTCATGAATGTGTAAAATGAGTCAGATCTTATTAAACAGGTCGTAAACAGACTGTTCACTTTAAAAGTCCAAAATCTAATCCATATTATATTATGTTATATTATATTATATTATATCTTGTGGTAATGTGGATATATACTTATCTGTAAAGCGCTTTGAGAGGGCATTCGGTTCTGAAAAGCGCTATATAAGAACGAGCTATTATTATTATTATTATAGCATTTCCCGGCCAAATTCGCGAGTTTGTCATTCGAATTCATTTACTTTGCATTTAAGTTAGCGCAGATCAGCTTTGCCATGCCAATTATCATTCAATTTTCCCGTTTTTGTATTTAATTTAGGATTTTGGTCGAAGGATTTCATAGATCTGTCATTCAATTTAGAAACTGCTCAACTAGCATTCAAATTAATTGTCACTTGTCGAGGCGTCATTTTTATCATTCAAATTAACACCTGTCATTCGTATTCGAATTATGTTCATTCAAGTTAGGAATGTTAGGGGAAAGAAATGCAACACACGTTTACAGCTTTTAAAAAATGCAATTAAATACATAATTTGCCATAGGGGTCTTTTCTGTTATTCAATTTATTAATTTTGAGGACAAAGCATATGTTTGTAGTCAGACATTAGGTAAAGAAGGGGCGAAATCAAGGGATATGGCATCTCTGAACGGACATGTTCACATACCCCAGAAAAGTGGGGATACAAAAACACCTACCCCAGTCACAATTGTCAGATTTAAATACTGTAAATTATTATGGTCTGACGATAAATTAGGTTCTGATGAAATGAGTATGTATCACAAGAAAATCAAGCAATTTCAAGAGTAAGAATATAGGGTACAAACAGTTTATTTAAGAGCCATCGGCTCAATATAATTAAACATGCAAATAGTTGACAAAAAAATAAAATGTTTCAGAATCACTGTGAACTTAGATAGGAGTATATCCTATCACTGTTTATGTCATCTTATCGGTACTCAATTATATCACAATATAATTCTCCATATTTCCAAAAGAAAATAGATTACTTGATGACCGGGTCATCCTTCCATTGTAAAACATACAAGTAATCACCCACCCACTCTAGCCCGGTCTTTGTATATATAAAGTAAACGGCTGTGGGTTAAAGAGTCCCGATTTAGAGTTCGTAAATACCACCTCTTCCTGTTTCTGAATAGGCGGAACGATATACTCTGGTGTATGTAGTAACCCGGTGCGATATGATGCATGACCTGCTAAGCCTGACCGGTGTACGACAGCACTGGGCGTTGACTCTACGACTTGACGCGAGTAGGTTGCCTGAGCGTGTCGACTACGAACACATGTCCATTCACTGATGGTGCCTAGGGTTATGGCTACGAGCCCAGCTTGTCCAGTTCAGATGTTCAAATGATGATTCAAGTTGAGGCGAGGGCTGATGAGGCTTCTACCACGTCGGCCTGTGCTGCCTGGTTCTTGCCTGGTCCCATAGTATAGGGAAAGTCTATGCCAGCAACAGCATGCTTATAGCCTGTGGCTGTAACTTTTACCTTCGTGGCCAACACCCCTCATTCACTCCCCAAAGTCAGACCAAATTCTGAAAGGTCTGCTCCTCTCGAGATCTCATGTGCAATCTGATTAAACTACCCTAATTCTCTAATCCACGTTGGCTCTCTCAATAGTAACCTCTTTAACATTCTTTGTATTCCTCTCATGCCAAAACTGTCCATCCAAATTCCTTTTACTGAATCCTCTATACAAAACTTTCCTATTAACATTCTCCTCATCCTTTCCCCACACACAGACAAAGACAGACACCTGCTCTACTAGAGACCCAAGTTAGTTGACCTAGTAAATCCAAGTTAGTTGACCTAGTAAATTGCTACCAACAACATCTATTCATCTAACACCTGTCCATTACATTCTGTCTAAAAAAGAAATCCCAGTCACATTGTGACATATCTCCCCTTCCTTCAAGAGATTTATATAATTTCAGAAAAAAATTTCAGAGTGGTTTTCTCATTCTATACGAGGAAAATTTGTTTACAGGAAAATATAAAGATCAATAATAATTATTAACACAAAAACCTTCTGTTCCTGCTTTACTTGAAATCAACTACTGGTATCTGGTATCCTACTTAAGTAGTCTGCACCGACGTTTTCACTGCCCTTGATAGCTGTGATGCTAAACTGGTACGGTTGAAGCGCCAGAGCCCATCTCAGAATCCTTGAGTTCGCGACTTTTGATTTCGCGATACACTGCAGTGGCTGGTGATCGGTTTCTAGTTCAAAATGCTTGCCGTAGAGGTATGGTTCGAACTTCTGAACACCCCAGACTACTGCTAAGCATTCACGTTCCATAACACAGTAGCGCTGCTCTCTTGGGAGAAGTTTCCTACTAGCGTAGGCGATAGGGAACTTCTTCCCTTCTGTCTCTTGTAGCAGAATTGCACCGAGACCATGATCTGAGGCATCAGTCCTCAGGATGAAAGGAAGATCTAAGTCCGGAAGATGGAGGATGGGTTCACTAGCAAGTTTCTTTTTCAAGGTAGTGAAAGCTGCCTCTTCCGCATCTCCCCATTTCACTAGAAGTGGCTCTCCTTTCTTTGTTCGGTCAGTCAGTGGTACTGCTAATGCTGCGAAGTTGGGAACAAACCGTCTGTAATAACCCACAAGACGTAGAAAGGATCGAAGTTGCTTTTTGGTCTTAGGTCTCGCAGCTCCTTGAACTGCATCGACCTTGTCTTGCACTGGTCGAAGCTCTCCTTGACCTATTCGATGACCAAGAAATTCGATACTTACACATCCTACAGTGCACTTGGTAGGCCTCGCTGTCAAGTTTGCTCTCCTCAGTCTCTCGAACACCTCACGGAGGGTATCTAAATGCTCCTCAAAACTTACTGTATGGATCAAAATATCATCAATGAAATTGTCTACACCATGCAAGCCACGGAGTAAAACCCTCATGATACGACTAAAGCTTGCCGGAGCATTAACTAGCCCAAATGGCATGCTTCGAAATTGATACAAACCATCTGGTGTCACAAATGCTGTCAGTTCCTTGGCTTCCTCTGTTAAGGGTACTTGCCAATACCCTTTGGTTAGATCAATCTTTGTGAAATACTTGGCCCTAGAAAGTTTTGCAAATATTTCTTCCTGATCAGGTATCGGTTCTGCATCAGTTACGGTAACTTGATTTAACTTACGATAATCACAACAAAACCTGATCGTCCCATCTTTCTTCTTTACCATCACTACCGGGGATGCATAAGGAGAAGACGAGGATTCCACTATGCCAACATCTATCATCTTCTGAACCTCCTCCTTCACCTTACCTCGCAAAGCATGTGGTAATGGGTACGGTTTACTCTTAATGGGTTCCTTATGGACAAGTTTAATGTCATGCTTACCTAAGTTTGTCAATCCCGGCATATCAGTCAAAACTTCTTCATACTCCCGTAAAAGAGAGTTGACCTCCTCACGCTGCTTATCATCTAGATGTGGACTGATCTGCACATCTTTGAGAGATTCTGTTGGGGTAAGATTGGGGAGATGAAGAATATCCTTTCTCGAAGAATGGTTTACATCTTCATTCTCTCCTTCGCTACATTCCTCAGACAAGCCATCATCCACAACAGAAACACCAGCAACATCAAACCCACCTGCACTCTCCTCTCTCCTGTAGTACTTCTTCAGAAGATTTGCATGGAAGGTTTTTATCTTTCCATCCTTATCAATTCTGTAGTCCATTTGTCCTATCTTCTTTACCACCTTGAAGGGTCCTTTCCAGTGCATCAACAGTTTGTTGTTGTCACTCGGAAGTAGAAGAAGGACTTCATCATCAACTTCAAACTTTCTCTCCTTTGCTTTCTTATTGTACTGTCTCCTGTACCTCTCTGCTGATTTGCTGAGATTCTGTTGGGCAACTTCACAAGTCAATTGCAGCCTGTCTTTCAGATCCAATACATACTGATATGTAGTCTTGGTATCCGGTTCATCAACCTCTCCAGTCCACAGCTCCCGTAGGATAGCAAGAGGGCCTCGAACTGCTCTCCCAAACAGGAGTTCAAAGGGTGAGAATCCCGTGCTCTCCTGCACTGACTCTCTGTAAGCAAACAAGAGGGGGTTCAAATACCTACCCCAGTCCTTGGGTCGTTCTTCACACATCTTGCGGAGCATAGACTTCAAGGTACCGTTGAAACGTTCAACCAACCCATTGCAAGCGGGATGATAGGGTGTAGTCGTCATCTGACGGATGGAGAATAGACGACTGACTTCCTTCATCAGCTCTGATGTGAATTGGCTGCCCCGGTCTGTCAACACCTCTCGTGGTATCCCCACCCTGGAGTATATGTCCATCAGTGCCTCTGCAACTGTCTGTGCATCAATCCTGCGAAGTGCTACAGCTTCTGGGTAACGTGTAGCATAGTCTACAACAGTAAGAATGTACCGATTACCTTTGCTAGTAGCAGGTTCTATCGGTCCAACCAGGTCCATCGCCACACGTCTAAAAGGTTCATCGATGAGAGGGGTTGATCCCAGAGGCACCTTCGTAACCTTCCCCTTAGGCGAAGTACGCTGACATGGTCCACATGACCGACAATACCGCACTATATCTGCATGCATACCTGGCCAGAAAAAGTGAGTCAAAATCTTATCACGGGTCTTTTTAGTTCCAAAATGACCACCAAGAATAGATTCGTGAGCAAGCTTCAAGACTTGATTCCTGAATTTAGTGGGTACCACAACTTGCACGAGTACATCTGACCCTGGGGTTGCATCAATATATTCTCTATAGAGTACATCCTTCTTAACGAGAAAGTAAGACGAATTTCCACTCTTACTTATCTTCTTTTCTCCACTTTCAGCGAGTTTCCTGGAAGCATCCAGTGCATTGTCCTCCTTCTGGGCCTGGATTAGATCATCCACAGACACAATGTCATTCAGTGAATCGGGTACTTGAAGGGGAGGCCTCGTACGTCCTGCCTTCCGCTTCTGTCCTCTTGTCTCTACTGCGTTGGCCTGATGATCTTTTGGCTTCCAGTCTTGGTCTGGGTCAGCTGGTTGCCGGGCTCCATAAATGTTCCCTAGTACAATATCATACACGGGTGTTAGCACACACAAAGCTTCTGCCTTACCTGTGAAGAAAGGAGTATCTAGCTCGATCGTTGCAACTTGGAAGGTTCTGATCGTCCGATCAATGAGCAAGCAAGTCCGCTGTTCTCCAGTGAACTGCTCTTCCGACACCAAGTCTTGCCGAACAATGACAGTAGTACAACCGCTGTCACGTAGAACATCCACGAGCTTCCCGTTCACCATTCCCTTGCTGACTGGCATCTCCACTGGTGAACCACTCGCTGCTGCTGATAGTACCGGGAGGGTGTCGCCAGATGCTAGCTTCACTCCGGTTCCATCTTCGGTGAGGTTTTCTCTCACGATGAGACTCAAACCCTTCGAGTCATCCAGATGAGCTGTCTCTCTTGAGTCAGTAGGTCCTGCTGCAGCATCATGTCTGGCTGATGTATCATCTGCTGACCTGCCTTTGACGAGACTTGATCCCATCTCACGTCGACCTTTCTTTCCACTTGGGCAATTGAAAGAAAGATGTCCAAACTTATTACAAGTGTAACATTTCTTGTTCGAAAGATTAGAGTTGGTTGGATTCTCAGACCTACTTGATCTTTTATCACTACTTGAACTAGTAGAACTGTTTGGACTATTAGTATTATTTGAACTGTTAGAACTGGACTGCTGGGCTTTCACCCTTCTTACCCTCAAATCTGTATGAGCATCATGATATTGATCAGCTAGAGTTAATACTTCTGTAAGCTTTCCCGGATGGCGTTCCTTAACGAACATCAGGCATTCCTTACTGCTTGTATTAAATATCTGTTCCTGGATGAGCAGGCTCTTCAGACCTTCAACATTGTCATCATAAGAGCTAAGATCAATCCATCGATCTAAGTATTTCTCAATTCTATGGGCATATTGAACGTAGGTTTCCCCCTGATGGAGTTTAGCATACCTAAACTTAGTCCTATACCCTTCTTCCGTAAGATCATATCCTTTTAGAAGTGAGGATTTAACTATGTCATAATCCTTAACCTGGGAAACTGTAAGTCTTGAAATAATATCCAAAGCCTTACCCGACATCAAAGCACAAATTGCGAGTGCCCAATCCGACTTATCCCACCCTACAATTACGGCATGTCTCTCAAACCTAGACAAATAACTGTCAATATCATCCTTTCCTTCTTGGAAAACTGGAAGAGGAGGAATACTGGGCCTACTACGTGGGTGCCCCGACTGTGAACTAGGTCCCGTCCCATTAGTTTTCCTTAGTTCCTCTAGTCTAATCTGTTGAGCTATTACTTCAGTCTCAGCACTCCTTGCTGCCGCTCGTTCATCTCTAGCTTCACGCACACACTCATCAACATACGTTCTCAATTCCTTCCCCTCCAAATTAAACTCTTTCCCTTGTGTAATAAACTTATCTCTCTCCATACTGCAGGCCACACCAAGGTAAATTTACAAACCTGCCAAATGCAGACAATTTATGCAGCGCAAACGTCACCACGCCCTCAGCTCTGGCTCAGGCACGTAGAGAAGCCTCCCTGCCCCGACCTGCACTTGCACCACCGTCCGAACAGTCTTGAACCTACAAACACTGTAAACTGGAGAGAAGATCAAGTTTTCATTATTACACAAAAACAATCACAAGACATATTAACCAATGATAACAATCTAATCATTATAACCTAACCTATCAAATAGACAAAAATTGTCCCATCAGGGTCGCCAATATGTCAGATTTAAATACTGTAAATTATTATGGTCTGACGATAAATTAGGTTCTGATGAAATGAGTATGTATCACAAGAAAATCAAGCAATTTCAAGAGTAAGAATATAGGGTACAAACAGTTTATTTAAGAGCCATCGGCTCAATATAATTAAACATGCAAATAGTTGACAAAAAAATAAAATGTTTCAGAATCACTGTGAACTTAGATAGGAGTATATCCTATCACTGTTTATGTCGTCTTATCGGTACTCAATTATATCACAATATAATTCTCCATATTTCCAAAAGAAAATAGATTACTTGATGACCGGGTCATCCTTCCATTGTAAAACATACAAGTAATCACCCACCCACTCTAGCCCGGTCTTTGTATATATAAAGTAAACGGCTGTGGGTTAAAGAGTCCCGATTTAGAGTTCGTAAATACCACCTCTTCCTGTTTCTGAATAGGCGGAACGATATACTCTGGTGTATGTAGTAACCCGGTGCGATATGATGCATGACCTGCTAAGCCTGACCGGTGTACGACAGCACTGGGCGTTGACTCTACGACTTGACGCGAGTAGGTTGCCTGAGCGTGTCGACTACGAACACATGTCCATTCACTGATGGTGCCTAGGGTTATGGCTACGAGCCCAGCTTGTCCAGTTCAGATGTTCAAATGATGATTCAAGTTGAGGCGAGGGCTGATGAGGCTTCTACCACGTCGGCCTGTGCTGCCTGGTTCTTGCCTGGTCCCATAGTATAGGGAAAGTCTATGCCAGCAACAGCATGCTTATAGCCTGTGGCTGTAACTTTTACCTTCGTGGCCAACACCCCTCATTCACTCCCCAAAGTCAGACCAAATTCTGAAAGGTCTGCTCCTCTCGAGATCTCATGTGCAATCTGATTAAACTACCCTAATTCTCTAATCCACGTTGGCTCTCTCAATAGTAACCTCTTTAACATTCTTTGTATTCCTCTCATGCCAAAACTGTCCATCCAAATTCCTTTTACTGAATCCTCTATACAAAACTTTCCTATTAACATTCTCCTCATCCTTTCCCCACACACAGACAAAGACAGACACCTGCTCTACTAGAGACCCAAGTTAGTTGACCTAGTAAATCCAAGTTAGTTGACCTAGTAAATTGCTACCAACAACATCTATTCATCTAACACCTGTCCATTACATTCTGTCTAAAAAAGAAATCCCAGTCACATTGTGACAACAATATTGTACCCTTCCTCCATAATGAAATTGTGATACATTTATGATGAAACACAAGACAAACAACTTCCTTACATGAACATTTACACAAATATTGAGACCATCGAGTCCGTAGATGTAAGTCTTTTTTTTTAACAACAAACTTAAAGGCTGATGAATATCTGATAAATCTAAAAGTGTATAAAGAGTATAAATGCAAGAAAATAAAATAGGATGAAATACACATGAAAAAACGATCTTGAAAGAAAAAGAATGAGGTATAAAAAGTGTGTAATAAACGAAAAATGTATATTGACCATTAATTTTAGTGCACAAAGTGCTAATTTGAATGCTACAAATGAATTAGAATGCTAAAAGTACACCGTCGCGATGTCAGAAAATCGTGTTGCGCTAAATCGAATGACCAAATAGCGAAAGAAGCACTTTGTTCATTAATTTGAATGAAACATACATATATTCTAACGAAAACTTCATAGATTTGAAATCTAGAAAAAGGAATATAAACCCGAGATATACCCGAGAGCACTAAAACCGTCGAATTTGAACGCAAGACATTGAGGTAATTTCAGGTCTTACATATTGATGAGCTGTTTGAAATTAACTAGGAGGTATGCGCGTATTGGGGAATGTGGCTTGCTGCTCTACTTTTTAAAAAAAACTTCCCACGACATGTAATGAGTGTTTAGTATACATTATATGGGACGTACAGTGATAGATGGAAAGTTATTTCAGTATATTCGAAATGACTTTTAGGTAACTCCTTTTTCCTCCCACTTCATGAACATTCATTCATTTCATTTCATCTACATTATTTCAAGAAATGCATTCAGAAAATGAAGAAGAAAAAAAGAAACGAAAAAAATAGGTGTAAAGAAAATATTGTCGGCGAAGCATTTGTCGTAGTACTAGTAGCATTTGTAGTTTATAGGACACTTTTTGGGCGGAGCAAATGTCGTCGGAGCAAATGTCGGCGGAGCAATTGTCGCTTCAGGCGGAGCAAATGTCGGCGGAGCAATTGTCGCTTCAGGCGGAGCAATTGTCGGCGGAGCAAATGTCAGCGGAGCAAGTGTCGCTTCAGGCGGAGCAAATGTCGGCGGAGCAAATGTCGGCGGAGCAATTGTCGCGTTTTGCGGAGCAATTGACGGCGGAGCAATTGTCGTCGGAGCAATTGTCGGCGGAGCAATTGTCGGCGGAGCATCTGTCGGCGGAGCAACTGTCGGCGGAGCAACTGTCGGCGGAGCAACTGTCGGCGGAGCATTTGACGTCGGAGCAAATGTCGCGGAGCAAATGTCGCGGAGCAATTGTCGCGTTTTGCGGAGTAAATGTCGGCGGAGCAATCGTCGGCGGAGCATGTGTCGGGTTACCGATTTCGCCCCTTCTTTACTAAATGTCTGACTGCACCCATATGCATTGTCCTCAAAATTAATAACTGGAATAACAGAAAAGACCCGATTGGCAAATCATGCATTTAATTGCATTTTTTTTAAACTGTAAACGTGTGTTGGATTTCTTCCCCCTAACATTTGTAAGTTGAATAAACATAATTCGAATACGAATGACAGGTGTTAATTTGAATGAGTAAAATGACGCCTCGACAAGTGACGATTAATTTGAATGCTAGTTGAGCAGTTTCTAAATTAAATGACAGATCTATGAAACCCTTCGACCAAAATTATAAATTGAATACCGAAACGGGAAAATTGAATGAAAATTGGCATGGCAAAGCAAATCTGCGCTAACTTCAATGCAAAGTAAATTAATTCAAATGACAAACTCGCGAATTTCGCCGGGAAATCATATAGGATTTCCCGGCCAAATTCGCGAGTTTGTAATTAAAATTAATTTGTCTTGCGTCCAACTTCGACGGTTTTAGTGCTGTCGGGTATATCTCGGGTTTATATTCCTTTTTCTAGATTTCAAATCTATGAAGTTTTCGTTAGAATCTATGTATGTTTCATTCAAATTAATGAACAAAGTGCTTCTTTCGCTATTTGGTCATTCAATTTAGCGCAACACGATTTTCTGACATCGCGACGGTGTACTTTTAGCATTCTAATTCATTTGTAGCATTCAAATTAGCACTTTGTGCACTAAAATTAATGGTCAATATACATTTTTCGTTTATTACACACTTTTTATAGCTCATTCTTTTTCTTTCAAGATCGTTTTTTCATGTGTATTTCATCCTATTTTATTTTCTTGCATTTATACTCTTTATATACTTTTAGATTTATCAGATATTCATCAGCCTTTAAGTTTGATTGTTAAAAAAAAAGAATTACATCTATGGACTTGATGGTCTCAATATTGTGTAAATTTTCATGTAAGAAAGTTGTTTGTCTTGTGTTTCATCATAAATGTATCACAATTTCATTATGGAGGAAGGGTACAATATTGTGACTGGGATAGGTGTTTTTGTATCCCCACTTTTCCGGGGTATATGAACATGTCCGTTCAGAAATACCATATCCCTTGATTTCGCCCCTTCTTTACCTAATGTCTGACTACAAACATATGCTTTGTCCTCAAAATTAATAAATTGAATAAC